TTCTCCACACAAAAATATCACATCAGTTGGCTTCAAAAGACACCAATTCTACTATGAGTTGACATCAGAGAACACTAAAAAGAACGGTCAGAACAAAGTTATTTCCGAATATTTGCTAAGTTTCCTTTTTTTTTCTACGGAACAGCAATCGCTTTTGCAACGGTGAATAGTTCAAAAATGGCATGCACTGCCTACGATTGATAGCGGCGATTTACCTGACAATCTGTGCCGCTTTTTTGAAGTGGCATTTCTGCGTTAAATAGAGTGCGATGTAGAGTTTACATCTTGAGATCAACACCGGATCGCCGTATTCATAGGCGAGCCGTAGCTGTCGCACCGAGATACGACCAGCCGTTTCGGCGAAATTCGAGTAGTAATCGCCCATCGCTGAGAATGCTCCACCGAGTGTGGATAAAATCCATAAATGACACTCCATTTGTACTGCACGATAGACAATCGAACTGATTCGTTCATCCCAACGATAGTCAATTCGGTCGCATAACGCTTGATCGAGTTTGGTGCGTATAATCAACGCATTCTTCCGATTGAAACTGTAGTCTCGCGATAAACGATCGATCAAATTCACAATGATATACGGACTGGTCAATAGTGCATGGATGGTGGAACGAATGAAACACTCAGACACGAGCCATTTGATACGAGAGGGCGAGGCACTGCTGCAAGAGGGAGCAGTTTCAACATCCGATGATTGGAACATTCTCACACTGCCGTTCTTTTGATTCGGATGCAATTGCTGACTGCTTTCATAACTCAGTACGATTACTATTACTGTTGGTGATTCGAAATGAACATTAACGGTCCATATTTCTTCTTCGTCATTGCAAAGTACCATAATCGATTTCTTAGTAATTCTGAAAGTATTTCGCTCAGATAACCCCTACCTTCGATTCATGACCGATCAATGCGCGATATATCTCAATGTGATACCACATGAAACTATATGAATATCTCGGGACATTTCAATGATGAGTTTCTAATAATTCAATCTTTTCAATTGAATGTATAATAGAAAAATTAATTTCTTCGAAATTCCCCCCGTTCGGAATGCCTTCCGCAGCGAGAAAGCCAACTATCGTCAGTCAATTATATTACTTCAGAACAAACGACTCATACAGTGTCGCTTATTCTGAAATAATATAATTGAGCACAGAACGACAGAACAAGCACTGCCAATTCATGGCCGTTTGCCTTGGTTATGAACCCATAACCCAGGCGAACGGCCATTGAATCACAATAATGTCTCGGGCGCCACTACCAGAAGACATACAGATGAACTTGATGAAACTTTCTTATGAAAGAGCAAATAGGCCAAAGTGGCCGGTGAACCGAGTTGGGAAGCACTGCCAACGTGAAATGATCGGCGATTTGTGTATGAAATTGTATTTATTCGAAATAGAACGAACATTAAATTTGCTACAATTCGAAACTATAAACAACATTCAACAATAACACCTTAACAATTATTTCACGTCTTCACTCAACAACTACAACAATGAAAATATGTTTTGTAAAACAGAATTATCACTTTCCAGAGGTTAAATATTCTCATAAGATAAT